CACATCTTTGTGAGCGCGCTCAGTGAGTCAGTCGCGGCGCTGACGCTGACAGCAGCGATCTGATGGACAGCTGAAGTTTTTCTTCTTGACCATAAACGACTACGTCACGTTTACACCACCCTCCGCTCCATCACGCAGCCTGACTCTGCAGCAGCTGGTCCGCATTAAGGGCTGAGGTGGTCTGCGAGCAGCGCGCCATGACGACCTGCCGTCTGTAGTTTGTAAATGACGTCACCTCTGACGTCACCTCTGACGACACCGTCCCGTGAACGTCTCTGTCCGCTGTCCTGCAGCAGACGTTTGAAGCTGCGCCTGAACATCTGGAGGTTTAAGTCACTGAAGCTTCGACGACGAGCTCACAGCTTCTACAGAACATTTAAAAACAGTCACATTTATCCTCTCTGTTCACTTCCTGCGTCTCTAATCAGGCAGAGACTGTGAGGCTAAACCAGTCTGAACTCAGCAAACCGAGCAGAGAAGACAGCGAACGCCTCATCACCGTCCACAGACTTCACCTGTGAGGAACTCCGTCTGACGGCTTTGTTAGGGAAGCCCGAGAGAGGAGAGGGAACGCCTCAGCTGATATCAGTGAGCTGTAACAGCGACTGTGCCGGTGTTAATGATCCAGACTCCTTTAGGAGCACGCTCACACTCATCGGAGTTACACAAGACAGGAGGCCGAGCCGAAGACGCTCACATGTTCACTGAGTCCATCAGAGGGACGGCGCCGAGTTTGGACGTGCAGAGGAGGGAGGGTCGTGGATGTAGTGAAGGAGGCTAAACATCCTCCAGCTAAGAGGTGATGTCGGCGTTCCTGACGGAGAAGCAGACGAAGCCAAAGAAACAAACGGAGATCAGAGGCGGTCTGAGGCGGTGCTGGGACGCCATATTTAAATATTCAAACACCTCGTGGATATTTTTAATCCTTCGTGACCATTTTTGTCTTAAAAACATTTCTTCAGTTTCCAGTAAACTTCACAGTTTAACCAATAAAGTAAATCCTCAGAACATCGTCTCCAACATTGTCCTAAACTGTCCCGACACAGAACGAATTACAAACCCACTTTAAATAAAACTGTGTGTAAACTTTAACATTCAGCCTCAGCAGGAGCGCGTCAGACGATCGGGAGAAGAACCAACAGAAAATCCATCAGACGAAGAAGAAAAGATCCAAAATACAAACGTAGGTCTTTCTGCAGGAAGTGACATCACGCCTCTCGTGAACGTTAGCTCCTGTTTATGCAAAGATAACGATCAAGTTTCTGAAAACTACAGCCGAGGTTTCCCTGTGATCTATTCGTTTATCACATTCAGCTGTCGCACATACAAACGTATAAAGTTAAATCAGTGTGGTGGCCTGACTGTAAACGTTTCCCTCCATAATCCCAAACTGCTGTGACGTGTGAGTGTCAATGTGACGCGCTGGGATGACTTCAAGTAGGGCTGCACGATTAATCGTTAGAAAATCGCGATCTCAATTCATACTTATGTGCGATCTCATTTCCAAATGACAAC